AACCCCAAGTGTGCTACAAGGTAAGTGATAACCCAAAAGGCCAGATGAAAAAGAACATCCTAAATAAACAATCCCTGCATGACATAAAGTCAAATCTGTAGTTTCAAACATTTTTGGAGTGAGATAAGGAGTGTGACATCAATCTCATGTCTGTGTGTTAAGGTACAGAGCTGGAATTAGCCTAGCTTAGCATGAAGTTTTGAGGCACGGTGCCACACTATTGTGTCGACAGCCCATTATTCCAAAACCGAAAAACAAAATCCAACTGCTCCTAAGGTCTGCTGTTCTGAGAATACTCTCTCTGATATCACCAACTCACGGACATAACTTAACTGATGTAACTAACATACTTATTTTAACAGAAACTATGATCTTTATGATGTAACTAAGTGGTTTTGGTGCATAAATCTAACCAAACTGCCAGCGTCATTGTTACATTGAGGAAAAAGGTCACCTTTTCCTTTCATCCTCTCCTGCACGTCCAAAGACACTGAGATATTAAGGGCAAAAACACTCCAGGGAGAGTAAAACAGGCCTTAGAGCTGTGGGCTTTTGTTTTCGGAATAACTGGCTGTTGGACAAACGGGCTCTCGGTCCGATGGGACATACTGGGGTTTCAGTATAAAGGGCCATCAGAACAATGAGCGGTCCTCTGAGGTGGGAAACAGCTGCCCATCCAAAAGGTAAATATACACCTATTACCACTTCTAAAGCTCGATAAACTAACAGGCAATTAACATACAGCTAATTTGTTCAATTTGTACACAAACGTAATTCCAATTTGAGTGTTTTTGGTGGTGTTACAGGAGCTCTTTCTTGGTGAGCAACAGCCAGACGCAGTGACTCAGCACAGCTTCCCAAAGACTTGCCATCACATTGCGGTTGCCAGGTTTTCTGTCATCGTGCCTGTACAGAGGCCAAAACCAGCATTTAGCGACCATATCTGGCAACCCGCACTATAGCTATAGACACAACAAAGAAGTAATGGGCAGATGGAGAACCAATCAAAAATCAAAGCCTCACAGATGCTAAAGTTGTGCCTGTTAAAGTATTTTTTGCATTGAAAATCAGTTTTTAGAAACTAACAAATTCTCAGTATATGAAAGAGCTTGTAGCAGACTGAATGCCATTTCTTTTCACTTTCGCTGTCTAACACTGACATTGTGTTCATGTTTTCTTGTTGGGAAGGGGGGTATTTTATTTTGTTTTGCCCCAACAAATAATAAATAATAAATGTCTTATTTTTTTTTTTTTTTTGCTTGGTTTTATCATGGTTACGAATGTTAATATCCGTTACTGGGTAACAAAGCGTGAAACAGACATACTGCATTGTTGTGTACTGACTTGAAGGACCAGTGTGTAAGATTTAGTGGCATCTAGTGGTGAAGTTGCAGATTGCAACAAACTGGATACTGCTGTTGGAGAAATTACTGTATGGTCATCAGGAACTGGTATTTTCTGCAGCCATGTCTCAAAGGATTACAGCAGTTGCACTAATATAATCAATAATATGTTATAGGAATTATAACTTATCACTTAATATGTAGGAAAATTATGATTTATTGTTGGTAAAAGGCTAGAGTCAGAACCTCACGCACAATATACAACATCCTGTTTGGCAGTTACAGTAAACCGACTGTGTTTCAGACGAGTTCTGTGCATTTTGTTCCTTTGTTCACTGCAAAATCATGTTGAGCTGCATCCTTGCTGCTCTAAAAACAGACTGGTGGAGTTGTTAATGCCGACTGGAGGGTGACACTGATACACATTGACAGGGCAACGGGGTGAAGCCAGTGTGTGTGTTCATGCCTTTGTGTGTTAACTTTGTGTACGATAAAATATCTCTGCATGGGCGAGTATTGTCTTGGTGTACCAGTTTCTGTATTTATGTGTGTTTCTGTACACTCGGGCGCACCTGTGTGCCCGTTTCTGGATGTGTGTGTGTGTGTGTGTGTGAGTGTGAGTGTGTGAGATAATCTATAATTAAATTCCTGAGTTTAATGGGATTATCTTTGGGAGACAAGCAGCACAACGTCCTTGACATCCATCCCCCTGGTTAGTCACGGGTGAGCAACTGATAGATACAGACACACATACAGAGAGAGGGCAAGATGAAGAGGGGGTGAGAGAGAGGGAGAGAGCAAGAGGGAAAGATGAAGAGGGAGTGAGAGAGAGAGAGAGAGAGAGAAGAGAGAAACCAGGAGGCAGCAACAAAGAGAAGAGGAAGGGATAAAAAGAGCAGTGAGGAGAGATCAAAGTGCGATGAAATGCTTGTGAAGTGAGAGAAAGAGAGAGGCCATCCGGAGGGAAGGGTAACGGAGAAGTGCCTTGCATTGTAATTATCTCATTTTCTGCTGCGTTACCACTGAAGGTCGACTGGTCTTTCCCTCAGCGATCCCTCTCCACCTCCAGCACACCACGGCCAGCCAGGCCAGCCAAAACAAGCACTTCTCATCCCTATTAAAGAGATAATGCACAAGGTCTTCATTATCTTTGCCTTTCATAGTCTTCCATTGATTTTTTTATTATGTATTAACTCGCTCGTGATGATGACTCACTCCTCTGTTCTTAGTTTAGTTTAATAAACCACATGAGAAACTGACAAAATGAGATCTTTAAATGACTTTTATTTCCTGAAACATGCTAGACGCTATGTTTACATGCTATCCAGACATAAAATCTATCAGATGTATAAGTGTGGAAACAATCGATTGATTAATAGAGCTGATAAGATAAGATAAAATAGAACTTCTTGAGCCAGAGATTGCTCAAAATAATTTAATAACAATGAAAGGTAGATTTAAAATAAGTAAAGTAAAATAAAGTAAAATAGAAAGTGGTATTGACAATGATATTGAAAAGTAATAAAAACGTATATTGCCCATAATATTGATATTATTATTATCAATGTCAGCCTTGCCAGAACTTAATACTTTACAGCTTTTTTTAAAGCCTCCAGTAAAGTTAAGTCAACTACAAGTAAACTCAATTTTGACTTATTAGACCAACGTAAGTCAAAGTCTCGAGTCCACAGCTGTGTGTAGAGGCATCACTGTGGGTCTGAACGCAACTATTATTGTCAGAGTCTGTTATACAGCAAAAGTGCCATGAATTGAAACTACCATAGTGCGATAATACAATACCAGATGAACAGGCTGTGTAATAAGGACGATATTGAACTACTGGTCATCCAGCATCCATTTGACCTCCATACATCCATACATACACAGGAATCCTAAACACATTTTTACCTCACATTATCCACCTGTTTAACTTGAAAAACAGCTCATCCTCTTTGAAATTCATTCCATTTATCATCTGGGGAAGCCTCAGTCACCAAAGCCTTATATAAGTGCAGTTATATGTTGAATTTCAGTCAAGATCCCAAATATGGCAAATATCACAATGCACAAAGATGTAAAAAAATATGTATTCCTCACTTTGTAGTTAGCCTACTCAAAGGCAACGTAAGAATCATAATGTATGCATGGAGTTGATGCATACCGTAAACACACATAGACAGTATGTTAACTGTGTGAAAACATACAGTTGATGGAGACACCTGAAGTAGATGAGCAGGGACAGATGCCATGTCCCTGCCCTTAGGTTGTGCTAAATCCTCTAAAATGACTTTGAACTGTAAGTAATGTAGTAACACTAAAAACACCAACAGTCTGTACTTCATCTCCCTCTGGTGGTCATTGAGAAACCAGCCCATCTTTCAGTCTGAGGTCGTTGTCAGTAAACGCAGCGCCAGGATGATTGTGGAAATACTATAAATACCAGTTTTTGTTATCTTTGCTCTTATAAGTTGATAATTAATATAGAATAATTCATATAATGAATGTGATAATTAATTACATTCATTATTTCATTTTAGTAGCAGTTTAACTTTACAATTAACCACAAACATTTAGTTTAAACTTACCTGAACTAACATCATACCTTTAATGTTAAACTGACACGCAAATGTTTGCTGACCCACCCTGGTGCTGCATTCAGGGACTGTTCGAAAAGAATATCTCAAGTCAGTTCAACTAAAGCAGACCATTACTTAATGGGTGTGGCTTTGTGCACAGGAGTATTTTTGTCATGTTGAAACAAGAAACTGTTGCCACAAAGTGAGGTCCAGGTTAGGTTTTAGTGTGGAGGCCCATTCTTGACCTTGGGAACAGACAGCTGGGATATATTCTACACTCAAGGTTCACTTTTCATATCACCATGTACACTGCAGAACAAGTCTTCTTTTAGTTTATTTAAAATTATCATCTTTTGTTAATATAAATGGGATGGGGGCAGTATTAGAATTAATACATTTACAATTTACAATAAAATTCATACAGCACAAATACTTTTTGACACATATTTCCCCTTTTCTTTCTTTTATTCTTTCTTTCTTCCATTTAAAATAACCCTATGTCACAGGATCACTTTAATTGATTTCGTTTAAAAGTGAGAAATTCCCCCTTAAAAAATGCATAATAAAAAACTTAAATAAATGAACTTGGATAAATAAATAAAAGCAAATAGTCCATAAAATTATTTAAACAGTAATGTAGACAATAAGAAGAAACAAAGTCAGAAGATCCAATAGTATAAAGATAGATAGATAGATAGA